GGAATTCCCATTCTCTTCTCAATGTTATCCACAATTTGTTATGATCCACAGAGTCAAATGTTTTTGCATAGTCTTTAAAACACAAGTAAACATCTTTCTGGTATTCCTTGCTTTCAGCCAAGATCCATCTGACATCAGCAATGATATCCCTTGTTCTACATCCCCTTCTGAATCCAGCTTGCATTTCTGGAAGTTCTCTGTCAATATACTACTGTAACCATTTTTTAATTATCTTCAGTAAGATTTTACTTGCATGCAATATTAATGCTATTGTTCAGTAATTTCCACATTCTGTGGGATCACCTTTCTTTGGAATGGGTACAAATATGGATCTCTTCCAGTTAGTTGGCCAGGTAGCTGTCTTCCAAATCTCTTGGCATAGCTGAGAGAGTGCCTCCAGTGCGGCATCTGTCTGTTGAAACATCTCGATCAGTATTCCGTCAATTCCGGAAGCCTTGGTTTTTGCCACTTCCTTCAGTGCAGCCTCCACTTCTTCCTTCAATACCATTGGTTCTTGATCATATGCCACCTCCTGAAATGGATGAAGAGCTACCAATTCGTTTTAGTACAGTGACTCTGTGTATTATTTTCATCTTCTTTTGATGTTTCTTGCATCATTCAATATATTGTCCATAGAATCTTTCAGTATTGCAACTCGAGGCTTAAATTTTTTCCTCAGTTCCTTCAGTTTGAGAAATTCTGAGTATGTTCTTCCCTTTTGGTTTTCTAATTCCAGGTCTTTGCACATTTCATTACAGTAATTGGCTTTGTCTGCTCGAGCTGCTCTTTGAAATCTTCTGTTCAGTTCTTTTATCTTGTCATTTATTCTATTTGCTTTAGCTACTCTCTGCTCAAGGGTAAGTTTCAGTCTCTTCTGACATCCATTTTGGTTTTTTCTTCCTTTCTTGTCTTTTTAATGACCTCTTGCTTTCTTCATGGATGATGTTTTTGATGTCATCCCACAATTCTCTGGTTTTCAGTCATCGGAGTTCAATGCATCAAATCTATTCTTTAGATGGTCTCTAAATTCAGGAGGCATATATTTAAGGTCATATTTTGGCTCTCATGGACTTGTTCTAATTGTCTTCAACTTCAAGTTGAACTTGCATATGAGCAGTTGATGGTCTGTTCCACAATCAGCTCCTGGCCTTGTTTTGGCTGAAGACACGTCATGTCACAGATGTAGTCAATCTGATTCCTGTTTACTCCATCTGGCAAAGTCCAGGTATATAGCCACATCTGTGTTATTTAAAAAAGGTATTTGCAATGAGTAAGTTTTAAAATAAGTTTGCAAAATTCTATCATTTGATCTCCAGTGTTATTTCTATTACCAAGGCCAAATTTTCCCACTACCGGAGATTCCTCTTTGTTCCCAACCTTTGCATTTCAATCACACCTTGATTGCATGTTCGGTCGATTTCAGACTGCAGAAGTTGGTAAAAATCTTAAATTTCCTCATCTTTGGCTTTTGTGGCTGGTGTGTAAATTTGAATAATAGTAGTATTAACTGGTCTTCCTTGTAGGGGTATGGATATTATCCTATCACTGACAGCACTGTACTTCAGGGTAGATCTTGAAACATCCTTAGTGATGATGAATGGCATGCCATTCCTCTTCATTTTGCCATTCCTGGCATAGTAGATCATATGGTTGTCTGATTCAAAATGGCCAAAACTGGTCCATTTCAGCTCACTAATGCCTAGGATATCAGTCTCTATACAGTCCATCAACTTCTAATTTTCCTAGATTCAAACTTCATACATTCCATATTCTGATTATTAATGGATGTGTGTAGCTGTTTCTTCTCATTTTGAGTCGTGCCATGTCAGCAAATGGAGGTCTTGAAAGCTCTACCCTGTCCATATCATCAAGGTTGGTTCTACTATGATGAGGCAGCTCTTTCCCTGTCATATTTTGAATGCCTTCTGACCTAAGGCACTAATCGGTAAGATTAATGTAATATTAACAAATGGGATTTTTTTTCAATTGCAGAGTGAAATGTTTCAACATATGGATGATCTTATAATTTAATGGATTAGTATTTTCCAAATGATCAGTGCACAACATTATAAAATCATGTACTGAAAATGATGTGTTTGAGAAGCAATCTAAATCAATGAATTTTAAGGTAGTAGAGTATGAAATTTCTTTTGATTTAGTTTCAGATTCTACATATGAGATAAACTTGAAAAAATACCACTTGCAATGTTTTGGTATAGTATCAAAAAGGAATAACCATGATTATCTGGAAAGGATATTAAAATACTTCTCCATTCTCCAACAACTTATCTGTGTGAGTCCAGATTTTCTTCATCTATTTCAGCCAAGACAACATATCACAAAAGATTAAATGCCAAAGCAGTTAAGAAAATATAACTGTCTTCTATTAGGTCAGACATTAAAGGGATTTGAAGAAATTTTTTTTAAAGACATATCTAAATTTTTTGTTTTCAAAAAAAATATTTCTCACAGAATATCATGTTAACATGTAATGAGTTTATTATTTTAAAATGAATTAATATGCTTAAATGTATCACTTTAATTTATAACCATATGTAGGGATATAAACAATAGGCAAAACTTTTGGGGTCTGAATAAAACACCAAAAAGTTGGAGAACTGCTGCACTACAACACACTCAGCTAACAATCCAATATTTTAGTTTTCACACATAGAACTAGAGGAATAGAGGAAATAAATTTTTATTTCAACTACACCTTGTTGTGTGCCATCGAATCAGATCCAACTCATAGCGACCCCTCCTTGGGTTTCCAAGGCAGTATCATCACTACGGAAGTAGATTGCCCAACCTTCCTTCCGAACTACACATACATTTTGCAATTATTTAAAAACTGAAAAATGATTTCATATATAATCTTAAATATTCCTAATTTATTCCATTTAAATTGTTTTAATGTTTGCCACCAAATGGCTTCTTTACTAATCTTGTTCTTTGCCATCAAATACATTCTGAATGGTGGTGACCTCACCTGCGCAGAGTAGAACAGTTCCATAGAGATTTCAAGGTTGTGACCTTTCAGAAGCAGATGGCAGGCCTTTTTCCTAGGCCAAAATAAACCTATTAAGGTTAAGAAACTTGCCTCCACCTCAATCAGCTTTGCTAAACAATTGTTCTCTAGTTTCAAAGCACTTTGGAAACGCCACTGCTTTAAGTCCATAGAGGCAGATTCCTCAAAGATTCCAAATAAGGTAGCTCTCATAAGGAAAAAACCAGTCTTCCAAACTTAAGTTATCAAGCGACTTCTTGCTTTTTCTTAATTAAAATCAAGTTTAAATTCACCCCAGTCAGAAGTCCTAATCTTTTAGCTCTACTGCATACCACATGTAACTCGTTCTACCTTCTGTAATTTTCACTTACGTCTAGAACTAAAGATTTTTAGGAAGTTATATTCCCCTAATTTGGGCTGTCATTCTGGTTTAAAACCCACAACTCATGTCCTTAAAGCGTGAGTTTCCAGAGCCCCTCCTACGTCAGCACGTACCATCCGCAGAGCCATCAGGGCACGCCCTGAACCCCTACCTCTAATGGATTGGCTAAACTCAACCAGGCCATAGAAGACGATTGGCTGGCGGTCGGTGGGCCGTAGGTGCTCACCAATCCAATCTCTTTTCTGTTCCTTCTAGCAGTCTCTTCTCAGTTAAGGAACTTCACCGCAGCAGGGTAGGGAGGGCATTCTGAACGCCTAATTCTCCTTCTTCGGGACAGTAAGAACCTCGGATTCGTGGTGCACGGGTCTGTGGCGCCGCATCTCTACACCCGGGCTGACTCTGTCGACCCGGGAGTGGTCAGCGGAAGCAGCCTCGAGTAGGGGAGTCGGGGCATAAGGAGTCTTATACCACGGGTCAGCCCCACCCTCGCCAGGGGTGGTGCCATCAGGCGATCTGACGACGTCAGGCACGGGCCGGCGCACGATTGGTCGCACCGAGAATGTGGAGCGGCTGGTCTGCAGTGGCGCTGGCTCAGGCGGTTGGGCGCTTGGCCGGCTCGGCCTGGGGGTGGGGCCTGCGTGCTCCTGCCGGCGCTGAAAGGAGGCGCGCGGCGCTGCCGGCCTTGGCAGGCGTTTTTGTCCGACTCTGTGACAGTGCAGTAGGCTGCGGCAGTAGCGCAGGGTAAGGCAAGGGGCGATGAGGTCCAGGTGCCTAATTCTATTCTCCCAGGAGAGGTGAGAAGGTGCCGGGGGGATGAGGGAGGGGACGCGGCCGGGCGCTTGGTGGCGGGACTTGTTACGCGCCCTGGAGGGTGGGCGGTGAGCGGTGTAGGGAAGCGGTATAGTTACACCGAGCGCTGGAGTGCAGTGTTCACTGCTGCGGCCACGGACTGAGTTTCGATGCTGCGGAGGAAGAAGTGAGTTGGGGAAGAGTCGGAGTTTCTGCATCTTTTAGCTCAGGTTGACTGATGGGAGTATCCCAGTGACCATTCAGCCGTAATAGTACAAGATGCTTAGTACAAAAGCATGCTTAGTCTTTTTAAAAAATACATGAAAGCCATGTTTACAGGATCAACAATATTTAAATCCATCCTCCTTTTTTAGCAGAAAATATAAAATATGTAATAAATGCTTCTGTTTCCATTCTGCATTTACTTTAAACTTTAGTTGTATATAATTATTAATATATACAATGCCCGCAAGAAAGTAAGAGGCATTAAAACCAAGGAGAGTTAAGCTAGGTACTAATTTAGAAAACAAGGAAGGTTGAGTATCTACTTCCATAGTGATACTGCTTCGGAAACCCAAGGAGGGGTCGCGTTGCGTTATGGCTGAATTGGAGCTGGTAAGCTAGAAACAGTTGGGTATGAAAAAATGAACTGTTGGTAGGTAGCCCTTGAAATACATGTTTAGAAAATTTTATTTCACTGGGTCCTTATAGTTCACTGAGATTATCAGATCAGAAAGATAGCTTGTAAGTTGATAATACTTGGGGAATCTTACTTTTAGGAAGGTAACTGGCTTGAAAATCTGGTTTTCACCTTAGTGTGGGAGGCAGTTAACTTGCTTCCTCTGCTTAAATAAGTTTCCCAACTTTGCTTTCTTATGATTTAATCAGTGACTTGCTGATTTTATGGTTTGTAAATGCCTCATGCCTTTTTAGAAAATGTTTCTTTTTTTTCATTAGTAAATCTGCAGATATTATTAACCTGTCTTTTTCAGCATACTAAAACTCACTGCCCCCGAGTCATTTCTACGGATAGCAAACCCCCCCCCCCTTGGGTTTCCGAGGCAGTATCTCTACAGAAGTAGACTGCCCAGTCTTCCTTCTGAGGAGTGGTTGGTGGGTTTGAACCACCAGCCTTTTGGTTAGCAGTCAAATGCCTTAGACACTACGCTACCAGAGTGCCCATAGGACATTTTAAATCTTTTATCAGTCACTTTTAAGCAGTGAAAAAGGAAGACTATCTACTCGTAAAAATATGGCTGACCTTTACTCAATATTCATTTAGAAAAATGAATATTTAAAGGCAAGTCTTGGAAGATTGCATAGAGTACAATTCCATTTTATAATGTTTAGAAACAAAGTAAAACAATATATGTTTAGTATATGTGTGTGTGTGTGGTAAAACTTCTCTTTCTCTCCTTCCTCCCTGTGTTTATATACATGCCACATAAATGCAAGGGAATGATAAAACAAGTTTCAGGAGACTGTTATTTCTACAAGTAAAGCAGTAAAAGAGATGGGGAGCATCACATTAATAGATGTAACTTAATCGTTTTTTTGGTTTTGGTGATGTGTTCCTACGTCTACATATTATATTATCCTCAAGTGAATAAATATATTTTACGATTGTATGTGAAGTTCTGTCCTAAGATAGAAGTTCTGAAAATCCTGAAAGAGAAGGGTAACTTAAAAACATTTCTCATTTCAAAAAGCTTTGTTGTTCTGTAAGTTACAAAATCTACTTTAGTGATGATTTTAATATATGTTCAACTAGCCTATGAAAGTTGTAAACAAATCTTTAAAAAAATGTGGCTGACTTTGAAGTAAACCCACTGCCATCAAGTTGGATTCAACTCATAGTATCCCCTCCTTGGGTTTCTGAGGTGGTATCACTGCAGAATTAGATTGCCCAATCTTCCTTCGGAGGAGTGACTGGTGGGTTTGAACCACCAGTCTTCTGGTTAGCAGTCAAATGCCTTAGGCACTATGCTACTTTGAAGTAGAGTATTAAAAGTTATCTTCCTTTCCACAATATTTTTTCTCTTGATCTCTGGTTTTAATCACTAAGCATATCTTCAGTTTTTGTGTATTAAATATCATTTTGACTCTCATATCATCGGCAACTCCTAGCAATCCTTCCACACACAGCCCACCCCAAACCTTGTTTAAGTGAGAACTTTTTGTCAAGTAGCCGTTTTGTACTTACATGTTTTGTGTACGTTCTCTTGTATGCTTAAACTCTTTTGAAAATGTCACTAATTAACTATATTTGAAAGAAAATCATAACAAAGCAGAGGACATAGACTCTTCAAAATGTATAGTGTGGGAAAGATGCAAGGAACACAAAGGATTTACTGTGGTTAGGCTGCTCTCTGAAGGATTCAGAGGTCAGAGATCATAGAAATTACTGGATGTATTAAAAGTATGAGGAAGAACTAGAAAGTGTGCATTATTAATAAACTTAATTCACATGGAAGGATTAATCAGGGGTCAGAGAGAATAATCATTAATGCACTAATCTGACTCCTAGCGACCCTGTGCACAACAGAATGAAACACTGCTCAGTCCTGTGCCATCCTCACAGTCATTGCTATGCTTGAGCCCATCATTGCAGCCACTGTGTCAGTCCATCTTATTGAACATCTCCCCCTTTTGTGCTGAGCCTCTACTTTACCAAGCATGATATCTTTCTCCAGGGACTGGTCCCTTCTGATAACATGCCAAAAAGTACAAGAGACAAAATCTGGCCATTCCCACTTTTAAGGAGCATTCCAGTTGCCCTTCTTCCAAGACAGATTTGTTTGTTCTTCTGGGAGTCAATGGTATTTTCAGTACTCTTTGCCATATCACAATTCAAATGCATCAGTTCTTCCTTGGTCTTTCTTTTTCATTGTCCAGCTTTCACATGCATGTGGGACAATTGAAAATACCATAGCTTAGGTCAGTTGCACTTCATCTTTCAAAGTTTTCAAAGTGACATCTTTGCTCTTTAAAGAGATCTGTTCAGAATTACTGGTCAGATAGAGACTGGTAGAACCTGTATGACTATGGCCCTGGGTTGTCCTTTGGAACTGGAACTGAAGTCACTTCCATGGATTAGCTCTCAGCCAAACAGTAGAAAGGCCTACAAGCAGAACACCTAGCCCAGTGGGATGCATCCCTTTGATCAATCAACAATCAACCATCAGACATCATAAGAGCAGCATTTCCCTAGAGGAAATGTTGGACAGACAGAAATGCATAGATAAGAAAAGCACAGGGAAGAGGTAGTGGATGGGAGGAGAGGTTTTTATTGTTGGGATTACAATTGGGATGTGAAACCAATGTGCAGGAACTGTTGAGAGTAAAACAAATCTGCTTTCTAAATTTGCACCCAAATCACAAGAATTTTTTTTTTTAATAGATCTTTTGCAGCCATTTTGCCCAGTGCAATATATCATTTGATTTCTTGAATGGTGCTTCCATGGGCATTGATTGTGAATCTTAAGTAAAATGAAATCCTTGACAACTTCAGTCAAGTTTCAGTATCCTAAATCAAGTTTTATTGAAACAGCCAGGCTCAGTTTACACATTGCCTAGTTCAGACATTGTCTGTGACTGCTTTTGTGCTATCAATTGGCAGAATTGATACAGTCTGGCTCTTTATAGAAAAAATTGCATTGAATGTAATGAATTAAGTTTTCTTCATCATCTAGAATGATATGGACCTTTGGAATAATAGAAGCTCTGGTGGCATAGTGGCTAAGGCATTTGACTGCTAACCAGAATGCTGGCGGTTCAAACCTACCAGCCACTCCTCAGAAGGAAGATTGGGCAGTCTACTTCTGTAGAGATACAACCTTGGAAACCCAAGGAGGGGTTGCTATGAGTTGGATCTGATTCTATGGCAGTGAGTTTTGTTTTGTTTTGTTTTTTCTTGGGAAAACTGAAAAACAGTCACTCAAATTATTTTTTTCTGATTAGGAACCAGGTTGAGAAAGCCTGGATTAAATTTTATTGGGGTATTGAATGTTTGGCACATGAGTTGGACCTTGAGGAAAGAATTTCATCAGATTGTCATAGCATTCTTGAGCAACTATACAGACACAAAGAGTGGCAAAGCATGTTCTTGTTATGTGCCATCTAGTCAGACCTGACTCATAGCGACCCCTCCTTGGATTTCTGAGGCAGTATCACTATGGAAGTAGATTGCCCCTTCTTCCTTCCAAGGAATGGCTGGTGGGTTTGAACCGCCAGCCTTCTGGTTAGCAGTCAAGTGCCTTAGGCACTGTGCTACCAGAGCATGTTAGGTACGGCTATAGGAATACACAGTAGAGAATACAGAAGCATTTGTGGAAAAATAGGGTGAAAAGTTAGGTTGGGGCTACCTTATAGATAGATGTGCATCCTCCTAAGGAAGAAAAATGTACAAAGGGAGAGAGATTGACTATATCAGTGCTGTAAAGAGTAACGTAGGACAAGGATTGAAAGGAGAGTATTAACTGTGGTAATTAAGAGAGCAACTATATGAAAAGCCAACTGTGATGGCCTATAGGAGCAGTGGTGGGTGAGGCTGGGGCTAAATGGTGGGCCAGCAGTATTATTGGGAGACCCTGATGGGGACAAAGAGTGGTGATGCTGAATGTAGGAGCACCAGGTATAATTCGCACCCTTTTTTGGAATGACTGAATCACTTAGTTCAGAGATCTGTAATTGCTTCACTACTATGTTTATATGGAGTCTGGATGGTATGAATGGTTAACACCCTTGGCTGCTAACTGAAAGGTTGGCGGTTTGAGGCTACCCAGAGGTGGCTTGGAAGAAAGGCCTGGAGATCTACTTGTGACAAATCAGCCATTGAAAACCCTATGGAGCACAGTTCTACGGTGATGCACATGGGATCCCCACGAGTCAGGGCCAACTTGACAGCAACTGGTTAACTGTTATATTTATGTTACCTTCGAAGAATTATGATATAATGGCTTTTCTGTCTCCTTTTCTTAGTGTTTTAGGACAGATCAGACATATTGTAACAATGCCTGAAATAAACACTGACCATCTTGATGAGCAGCAGGTTCAACTTCTGGCAGAGATGTGCATTCTTATTGATGAAGATGACAACAAAATTGGGGCTGAGACAAAAAAGAATTGTCACCTGAATGAAAACATTGAGAAAGGTACTGTTTGCAAATATTCTATCTGATAAAAGTGATTTTCTTAGGCATTTCACATTCACTGAGAAAAGTGCTCTGATAAAGGAGTTATGATTCTTAATCATTTCATATTTTATCTTTGGCTCTAGTTAGTTAATGTGGCATATTATTGGGAGACCCTGATGGGGTCTCATCCATGCTACCTCCTTGTTTAATATATATATCCTCCCTTCATCTGTCTTTTACTCATATTCTTCAGGGTTATTTTGTAGAAGAAAGAATGGACTAACCCTAATATAACAGCAGTTGCCAAATCTTCTAATGAATATACAGAGGCAGGTGTCGTAAAGGGGAGAATGTGCCTTTGTAAGAGGAGAAGACTATCTTGTTTAAAGCTGAATATCCATGAATAGAAACTTGGTCATTGGCAGAGCAGGCTAATAGGTTCTCATTTCTTCTGCTCAGTGTCTGACAACAAGTGTCAAAGCTGTTCTCCATGACAGCCATGCAGAGGCTTATCCAAACTGAAGACTATGGGAAAAAAGCAAAAATGACAGCAAGTTACTAATACTATTCTGAACTCCATGTGGAAAATCAGGCAAATAACTGGTATTTAAAAACTAAAATAGTAGTATTTCTTTTGCTTTCAGGATTATTGCATCGAGCTTTTAGTGTCTTCTTATTCAACACAGAAAATAAGCTCCTACTACAGCAGAGATCAGATGCTAAAATTACCTTTCCAGGTTAGTATACTTAATCAGCAATGCATTGGTGGGAATGGCATTCAAAATGACTTTTGATTGTTATTTGTGAGGGAGGTGACATTAGGACTTAATCCCTGAGAATGGGAAAAAGGCTCTTAATGGTATTAGAGGTAAAATTTCTTAATCAAGAATCTATTACTTGTTATTTCCTAAAGAGTAGTTTTCCTTGGCCAGTATGAAGTATGTTTTAGCAGAGTACATGTCACAGTTAAAACTGTTACAGTAAACCTTAAAAGCTATTATAAAAAGCTTAAAAAATAAGTTAGAAAACATTTAAAGGAATGGAGAGAAAAGTGTACTGGGAACATGCCTGTAATGATGTCGTTGATCACAGATTAACTCTGAACTTCCTTATAGCCAGCGTCAAAAGAGAAAGCCTATGAATGATGTAATTTCATATTCTGCATAAAAGAAGCTTATACAGTGAATGCAACCTAAGAAACCCCACGGCGACTGAGTTGATTCAGACTCAAAGAGACCTTATAGGACAGGGTAGAACTGCCCCGTTGGGTTTCCAAGGCTGTAAATCTTTATAAAAGCAGACAGGCTCATCTTTTTCCTGCTGAGGGGCTGGTGGATTCAAACCACTGACTTTTTGGTTAACAGCCAGATGCTTTAACCACTGTGCCACCAGAGCTCCTGCAATCTAACAAGACAACAGTAATGCATAAGAACTGCTAAGGGATGGGGGTGTATATGTGCATATAAAAAAACCCACTGCCATCAAATCAATTGTGACTCATACCAACCTCTGTTGGGTTTCCAAGACTGTAAATGTTTATGGAAATAGATTGCCTCATCTTCCTCTTATGGAGAAGCTTGTAGGTTTGAGCTGCCGACCTTCTGATTAGCAGCCAAATGCCTTAACCACTATACCACCAGAGCTCCTTGTATATGCATATATTTACCTATATTTTGTGTATCTACACATCTTGATTATCTTTTTGGTTAATCAGCCATTAATAAAGAACTTACCTACAGATGTCTGTTTTTAGGAATAATTAGTGATACTCCATTACAACTGATTTTAAATCCTGCAAACCTACTTTGAAGAGAAGTTAACCTACATCTATGTTAACATTTTCCAGGTTGTTTTACCAATACTTGTTGTAGTCATCCATTAAGTAGTCCAGGAGAACTTGAAGAAAAGGATGCAATTGGGGTAAGACGAGCAGCACAGAGACGTTTAAAAGCTGAATTGGGAATTCCCATGGAAGAGGTAACCTGCTTTCCTGTACGTAACCATACAGGTTGAAATCTAAACATGCATTTAAAAAAGGTTTTATAAAATTTTCAAATTCAAGTGAAGGTCTCTGTTTTTTAACCTTTTGAGGTAGCAGTGAACCCCAGAAAACACCTTAATTAAAAAAGAGGATATAAATTTTGATTTAATATTACTGATCAGAATTAATTTCAATACTGAGATAGATTAATACATGAACTGGTATATAAGGTTGACTATTTTTGTAATTGATGGGCTCAAAGATGAATATTTTCTTGTGAAAATCCTTAGGAATATGAACTACATGCCTGATTGGCTGAATGGAAATAATCTCTCTTTTTCTCTCCTGGAAATGTTCCTTTTAAATAAGATCTGAATAAATTAGTTGTCTCCTAGTTAAAATGCTAAGTTACTTTCCAACAAAAAATGATCTTAAGATACAAAGGAGAGTCTATCAGTGACTGCTTTTTCTTTCTTTTAATAATTATTTTTTTAAAAAAAAAGTCTGATCATGTAGGAAAAGCAATTAGACTCTTGAAACTAACAAGGCATAATATTTCCATATAGCAACAGGAGATTAATATTTTAAAAATTCTAACTCTAAAACTACTGTGTTCAGACTATTACTGAAGTGTGGTGAAGTGTTACTTTTAGATTACTTTTTTTTAAAATGGTATTTTTATTATTGTGTTCTATTTTTCAATAGGTTCTGCCAGAAGAAATTAATTATCTAACACGAATTCACTACAAGGCTCAATCTGATGGTATTTGGGGTGAACATGAAATTGATTACATTTTGGTTGTGAAGAAGAATGTAACTTTGGATCCAGATCCCAATGAAATTAAAAGCTATTGTTATGTGTCAAAAGAAGAACTACAAGAACTTCTGGAAAAAGCAGCCAGTGGTGAAATTAAGATAACTCCATGGTTTAAAATTATTGCAGAGACTTTTCTCTTTGAGTGGTGGGAAAACTTAAATCATTTGAATCAGTTTATTGAACATGAAAAAATACATAGGATGTGAAAGTGGAATGAATGATTAGTAAAGTCCTACAAAATTACTCTGTAGTGAACTTAGAATGATGGGTTTTTTTGTTTTTTTTTTTAATTTGGTTCTTTATTAGAAGAACTCTCATTTGATACAATGATGCTTTTATAAACGATTAGATGATGTGTGAAAAGGACAACTGACTTAGTTTGGTAACATATAACCCATCCATATGCAGTGCTGTTTGTAAAAGAAGACATGAGATATTGTTTAAAAAAAGCAAATAAAACTTCATTTTACCTGTCCACAAACCTATCCATGAAAAATTTGAACTAATAAGAAAAGCTCTTCCCTTTTTATATTGTGATAAACTTTCACAATACTTGAGGAGCACTTTGCTATTTGCCAGGCACTTTATATATCATTTAATTCTTATTGTGGTCCAGAAGACTGTACAAAGGAAAGTATTTGCTTAGCTACTTTAAAACAGTCCTAATTAACTTCCAATAGTAGCAGATTAAACTAGATAAGCAGGTGAGAGGGAAATTAAATGGTATATATCCTAATTTCTGTCCTTCCAAGTTGGTTTTTTGTTTGTTTGTTTGTTTGTAGGTTGGTTTTGTGGTTTAATCATTCTGAAATTATTATTTAGTTACTTCAAGTCAACCATTGCTTTTGGTTATAAACAGAAGTGGTTACTGATTAGGTTAAATCTTCTTTTAAATAAACCAGAAACAAACTGTTGTTGTCAAGACAACTCAGAGCGACCCTTTAGGGTAGTGGAACTGCCTGTAGGGTTTCCAGCACTGTAATCTTTGTGGAATCAGACTGCCACACCTCCTGCAGAGCAGCTGGTGAATTCCAGCTGCCAAGCTTTCAGTTAGTAGCAGAGAGCTTAACACATTATGCCACCAGGGCTCCTTTTAAATAGTCTTTGCCAATTAGCAAAGTATGTGTTCTCAGAATTACAGTTGACAGGCTATTCATAAAATGGTAATTGCAGCAGAGTTTCTTAATCTTGACACTATTTACACTTGTTGTTAGGTGCTGTCAGGTCACTTTCAACTCATAGTGATCCGATGTACAACAGAAAGGAACACTGCCCAGTCTTGCACAATCGTTGCCATGCTTGAGCTCATCATTGCAGTCACCATGTCAACCCATCTAATCTTTCCTGATAAATGACCAGAGTACAAAATTCTTACATTCTGCATTTCAGTTATTAATGGATGTTTACACTGTTTCTTCCCATTTTGAGTCATGCCACAAAAACAAGTGAAAATCTTGAAAGCTTGAGGCCATCTACATCATTTAAGGTCATCTCTGCTTTGAGGAGGCATCTCTTCCCCACTCATGTTTTGACTGCCTTCCAACCTGAGGGGCTCATCTTCTGGCACTGTATTAGTGTTGCACTGCTATTCATAAGATTTTCAGAAGAGGACTGCCTCTTCTTCCCAGTCAGCCTTAGTCTGAAAGCTCCACTGAAACCTGTCCACTATGGTGACCCTTATGGTATTTGAAATACTAGGGGCATATCTCCCAGCAGCATGCAAGCCACCATGGTACAATAGCCTGATGGACAAGTGGTACATTTACATTTGGGTCTGGATAATTCTTTGTTGTGGGAGCCAGTCCTGTGCACTCAGCAGCACCCTTGGGTGCTAGGAACACTACTAGATGCCAGGAACACCCCACATTTGTGACAACCAAAAATGACACCAGTCATTGGCCAGATGTCCCTGGGGATGTGGAGTAGGAAGTAAAGTCACTGGCCTTTGAGAACACTTCTACAAAGACAGGCCATATTACAGGGGGTGGTGGGGATAACAGAAAAGGCTAATCATGTTAAATAGATTGAAGTTATGGAATATGTATGAATATTTATAATTGTGTCTTAACTAATGAACTTTATAAATTTATTGTCATTGATTTCTTAGCTATGAAATCTTAAGACATCTTTATTATTCTTGAATGCTATATAATAATAGATACTGAAGAAAAAAATATTTCTTAGAAAGTTAAGCAATTTATAAATTCAATAGTAAAAAATCATTTCTTGTTAATCTTGAATGGGTAACTTATAATTTTAGCCAAGACACTTTTATGCAGCAAGTGCTTATTTTAATAAAAAGTGAAAATAATAAAAATCTACCACATTTTCTATACTATTACCTAGTTAAATTTTTAATAGAATAATAGACAAATCTGCCAGGAATAGCTGAAACGATATAAATGCCAGATAGTTGCAAATGAAATTATTTCTAGTTCTTCAATTTCATTTTCTAGGAGGTTTGAGGCTGAAAGGCACACATAATTAGTTGCTTAGTAGCCACATGTGGCTAGTGTCTTCTGTATCAGTGGATCCTTAGACCATCACCTGGTACTTTGTAAGTGTTCAACAAGTGTTACACGTTACCATCATTAATAGTACTAGAATACCAATTGAAAACCTAAGTATGAATATTTTGGACCTGATAAGCTCCTTCAAACCAAAATCAAACTCACTGCTGTTGTATCAATTCCAGCTCCTAGTAACTAACCCGCTGCCATCAAGTAGATTCCGATTCAGAGCAACCCAATAGGTCAGATTAGAACCACCCTATAGGCTGGTGGTTCAAACCCACCAGCAACTCCTCAAAAGGAAGGTTGGGCAATCTGCTTCCCATAGTGATACTGTCTCGAAAACTCAACGAGGGGTCGCTGTGAGTCGGGTCCGACTCGACGGCACATAACAACAACAACATAGGCTTTCCAAGGCTGTAAGTCTTTACAGAAGCTCACTGCCTCATCTTTCTCCTGTGGCTAGTGGGTTCAAACTGCTAACTTTTTAATTAGCAGCCAAGTGGTTTAACCACTGTGCCACCAGGGCTCTTTATAAGCTGCTTCAGGCTCAATCTTTTATTAAAATCCCTTTCCTGGAATATAACTGCCTTTGATCCCAAAGGTAAAACATAGATGTGTTTGTGTGTGTATTTTCATTTTAAAGGTAATTGAGACTTTTTTTTCCCCCTTAAATTGTTTAAAATTAGTAGTCTATCAAATATAACTTTAATTCTGGGCACTACCAGCTACTTTAAGGACCAGGTACAAAAAATTATGGCCTATAAAATTGTTTATTCTCGCCCCATACCTCTATTATCTGGAAAACAAGAGCATAAAAGAAAATCCTGTGGAGAGGAGGGGACATTATTTTCTTCTTTCTTGGCCTCAGTGGACAGGGACCGGCACAGATGATATGACAAGATCAAATAACTCTCCGAATCTCACAAGCATATTATCAGGGCAACTGGAATAATCTCAGAAAATTCTTGGGTAAAAGTCCTTCAGTCTGGTTGGCCTGTTGGGGATTCTTGCTTAAGGCTCATTCACTCAATTGGGTCAGTCCCACCTTTTGAATCCTTACCAGGATTGGGTGTCCAGTCCTATATAAATCCGTGGGATGTCCATACTCACCTTCTCATACTCCAAGTCCCTTCTCTTGACAGATGTCTTTTGTTTACTTTTTCACGTACAAATCCTCACCTCTCAACTGAGTATTTTATCAGTCCTAAACTTGAACTTCTCACTCAAGCTTTCAGAGAGTGAACTGGTGTGTATTTTTGTACATATTTAAATACTCTTCTACTTTACAATTTGCACACATACTTTGTATTTACATGCATTAGACTCCCAAATGTAAATCTTTAGCCAAACTATATGCATATAGCCAGCTCTCCATATAACATCTCCACTTGATATTTAAATAGATATCATATACTATTGATATTTAAGTAGGTATCCTACGTTTAAATAGGTATAACTTATGTTCAAAACCAAGTCCTCACATGTGCCCCACCTGTCCCAACATGCTACTCCATAGTCTTCCTCTTCTCAGCTGAGGGCAACTCCATGCTCAGGCTGAAAATTTTGGAATTGCCCTCAATTCCCTTTCCTCTCACTATTGCTACTTCAAATAAACCCCAAATCTGTCTCTCACCACCTTTGCCACTACCACTTTGAATTACCATTATTTTTCACTGAATTATTGCAATTGACTCCTGACAGCTTCCACACTTGGGTGCCAGTGTCTATTCTTGACACAACAGCTAGAGTGATCCTGTTATCTATCTGCCAAAATAAAATGCATCCTCACAGAGGCTAACAAGGTCTCCGATGTGCCCCCATTGCCTCTGATGGCATTTACTATTTCTCTCATCATGCTCAACCCCTACCCCATTGGCTTCTGTCTTAGCAATCTAGTGCTGCTGTAACAAAAATACCACAAATAGGTGGCTTGAACACACAAAATTCCTTTTCTCACAGTTAAAGAGGCTGTGAGTCTGAACTCAGGGTGTTGGCTTTAGGAAGAAGGCTTTATCTGTGGGCCCTGAAGGAAGGTCCTTGTCTCTTTAGAGCTTCTCGGTGATCTTTATGTGGCTTGACATCTCTCTTCCTCCATCTCTGCTTGCCTCTCTATGCCTAATCTACTCTTTTTAGATGTCAAAAGAAACGGATGCTAGACACATCTTACACTAATACTGCCTTATTAAGATAATAAAGAATACCCATTACCAAAGGGAATTATAACCACAGGTCTAGGAATTAGGATTCACAACATTTTCTGGGGGGGGCCACAATTCAATCCATAACAGCTTGCTTACTGTTCCTCAAGCCCATCAAGCATGTTTCCACATTGGGTCTTTATAAACTATTTGTTCTCCCTTGAAAACTCTTCTACCAGATACATAATGACACATTTCCCGAGACTTTGTTAGAATATTAACCACCTCACCAGAAAAACCAAACTCACTGCCACTGAGTTGATTCCAACTCATAGCAACCCCCATTAGGTTTCTAAGACTATAAATCTCTATGGAAGCAGACTGGGGAGCAGTCTTTCTTCTGGGGAGCAGCTGGTGGGTTTGAACCACTGACCTGTTGGTTAGCAGCCAAATGTCTTAACCATTACACAACCAGACCTCCATATCAACCACTTAACCCCTCAAAGAAAGGAACCCACTGCCATCAAGTGGATTCTGACTTACAGTAACCCCTAC